CAGTATAGCCAGGCAGAAAACTTCCATCTGTGACCTTGTCTGATAATCACCCCAGCCAACCAAACACCAGGAAACAGAAAAGTGGCTGCACGCAGCACAGAGCTTGGGTGGAGAAGGGGGGCTCCCACCCCGCTGGTTTAACATGGCGCCCTGACTGCCCAGCCTCCCCTGGGTGGTGTTAGACAAGGCGAGTGAGATCCAGGAGCTCATCCGTGCCCAGCCTCTGCAGGAAGGGTGGATGCTGCATGGAGACCCTGGGGCCCAGCCCCCACCAGCAGCAAGGAGGCGTCCCCTCACAGTCAGTGTGACAGAGCCAAATGGAGCAGATGGACTCCCACTCTGGCTTGGCCAGAACAAGGCAAGGCCCTCCTTCTGCTGACAGTGTCAGAGAACATCTGCTAAGACAGAAGATCTTCAGAGAGCAATTAAGAACACGCCTGAGGGCCTGGGGATGTGGCTCAAGCGGTAGTGTGCTCGCCTGGCATGCGTATGGCCCAGGTTCGATCCTCAGCACCACATATAAACAAAGATGTTGGGTCTGCCGAAAACTAAAAACTAAATATTAAAATTCTCTCTCTCTCTCTGAAACAAGTGAAAGAAGAAAAGCATTCAAAATAACCAGATGAAACTCATATCAGTGGAACAGGCTTCAGGAATAAAAGACATGAAGGGCCGTGCCTGGTGACGCAAACCTGTAATCCTAGTGACTCGGAAGGCTGAGACAGGAGGATGGTGAGTTCAAAGCCAGCCTCAACAATGGCAAGGCACTAAGCAACTCAGTGAGGCCCTGTCTCTAAATAAAATACAAAATAGGGCTGGGGATGTGGCTTAGTGGTCGAGTGCCCCTGAGTTCAATCCCTGGAACCAAAAAGAAAAAAAAAGAGAGAGAGAGAGATAAAGAGAGCTATAAATACCACCACTTCTCATAATAGAAAAACCTTAGAAGCCATACAATATCTATGTCCAAAAGATAGATAAATGATAGAGTGAAACAAAAGAACAGGGACTGCAGTAAAAATGAAAGACAGCAGCATGTTGGACATCAGTAACAGAATATTGGGTAAATAATGCAACTCTCAAAAAGTACACATTGTTTTCATGTTCCTCAAATAATCTGGAATTAAAGAACCTACATCCAAGATATCATCTGAGCTTGCACAGATATGTCATACGACAACAGGATTCAGAAGCCCAGCCAAAGCCCATTTTGTTTTCCAGGGCCCTCTGCAAGGGTTTGCATGTTGACGCACTGTTAATAATAATAAGGTTAAGATTAATCAATATTTTTGTGCTTCACATTCTAAAATTTTCTGCAGATACTTTTTTATTTGTTTTTGATTCTAGGGGTTGAACCCAGATATACTTAACCACTGAACCCCATTCCCAACCCTTTTTGTATTTTATTTAGAGACAGGTATCACTGAGGTGTTTAGTGCCTTGCTTTTGCTGAGGCTGGCTTTGAACTTGCCATCCTCCTGCCTAAGCCTTCTAAGCCTCTGGGATTACAGGTGTGCATCACCACACCTGGCTGTAGATACTATTTTAACTCAACAAATTTTTAAAAATTTAACCATACAGAGTATTTTTAGACCAGAATGGATACATCAATTCTCAATGAAATATTAACAAATAAAATCCAGCAATATATAAAAAGAATTATACACCATGACTCAAAAATTTATTCCAGAAATGCAAGTCTTGTTCCACATTTAAAAATCAATACCTGCAACTCACAGTATCAATAAGCTAAAGAAGAAAACTCATTTGTTCCCATCAATTGATGCAGAAAAAAATAATTGAAAAATACTAATATTCATGATAAAAACACTCAGATAGAGAGACATAGCATGACTAAAGGAGAACTTCCTCTACATTATAAAAAGCTTCCACAAAATTCCTACAGTTATCAGACTTCATAGTGAAAGACTGAATGGTATCACCTGTAGACTAGGAACAGTCCAAAATTTTTTCACTTTTTAAAGTATTATTGAACATAGCAATGGAAAATCTAGCCACCACAATAAGGCAAGAGAAAAATAAAAGGCACAGTGATTAGAAAAGAAGAAAATAAGCTGTCCCTATATGCAGATGATATTATTGTCTACATTTGAAATTCCAAGTAATCTGGGCTGGGGTTGTGGCTCAGTGGTAGTGCATTCACCTGGGTTCTATCCTCAGCACCACATAAAAATAAATAAATAAAGATATTATGTCCAACTACAACTAAAAAATAAATATATTTTTTAAAAATTCCAAGTAATCTATACAAAAATTCCTAGAACTAGAAAGTAAATTCAGCAAGTTTATAGCACAAAAATCAACAGCAGTTTTCTGTTAACAGTAAAAATGTGGAAACCGAAATTTAACAATAATACCATTTATAATTGCTCCAAAGAAAATAAAAATCTTAGATAAAATCAAACAAAACATACAGGACTTCTATGTTCTAAACTACAGAATGCTGATAAAAGAAACTGAAGGCCTAAATAGATGGAGAGGCATACCATATTCACGGACTGAATATGATGTTGATACTCAACATTTACTGTGTTGAATGTCACACAGTAAAGACATCACTTCTTTCCAAACTGACCTAAAGACTTAATGAAATTCCTGTCAAAATCCAAGCAAAGATTGTTATAGACATAAATGTTTATTTTTGAATTTATATAGAAAGGCTCAGAACCTAAATAACCTAAACAATTTTGAAAAAGAAGAAAGTGAGAGGAATAGATCTACTCTATACACAGCATAATACACCATGATAGTGTGGTATTAGCAGAAGGGTAGTCACAGAACATAGTTAGCAGAACATAATAATACAGAACCCAGAAATAGAAAAAACAACATTCAAGAAAGGCACAAAAGCAATCCAACCAAGCAAAAACCCCTTTTAATAAACGATGGTAGAGCAATGTCCCGTTAACGAATAAAATGAAACTCAACCTAAACTTTACACCTCACATCTCACACAAACTTCACACATTCAAGTCAAAGCTGATTACAGACTTAAGTGTAAATTTAAAACTATTTATACATTTTTTAGAAAATAAAATATAGGATAAATCTATCAACCTAAGTCTTGGTGACAAGTTCTTAGACTTAATACCAAAGACCCATTCCAAACAAGGAGAAAATGATAACTAAGCTGTTTTTAATTTAAACATTGTTTAAATACTAAAAAAATTTAAACATTTGGCTTTGGAAGAGAAAAAAATATAAAGGCTAACAGAAAATATTTGTAAACCACATATCTGACAGAGGACTTGCAACTAGAACATATAAAGAGCTCTTGAAAGTCAAAAGAAGGAAAATTATTCAATTTAAAAAGATATAAATAGACACTTCACCAAAATGACACACAGATGACAAAAAACACATGAAAAGGTACTCAACTGCATTAACTTAGGGAAATGCTGATCAAACCACAGGGATATGTGGCTAAAATAGCGGTCACATAAGCACTGCCCATCAGAGACTGGTGGGCACGTGAGATGGGAGGGTGCTCTAGAACACAGATGCCAGGTTCTTACAAAACCAAACGTGCTCAGGTGTGGTTTGATCTGAAAGGTCCTCCCAAGGCCCCTGTGTTAAAGGTTTGGTCCCCAGTGCTGGTGCTATTGGGAAGTAAGTGGTGGAACTTTTAAGAGGTAGAACTATTGCAAGTCTTGGGTCACTGGAAGCAGAAGCATGTCCTTGAAAGGAATTAGGGTCTTTTCCTCTCTTTTTTGCTTCCTGGCCAAGCAGCTTACTGTGCCATATGCTCCCTGCCAAGATATGCTGCCTCACCCCAATAATAGGGCCAATAAAACATAAACTAAAACCTCCCAAACTGTGAACCAACATTAAACCTTTTATTTATTTATTTAGATGCTGAGGATTGAACCCAGGACCTCATACAGCATTGCTAGGCAAGTTAGGCAAGTGCTCTATCACTTAGCCACACCCACAACAGCCTTTCTTCTTTTTAAATTGATAGCCTCGGGTATTTTGTTACAGTAACAGAAAGTTGACTAACTCATGTAGTTACCACCCTGTAGTGCTGCTTAGCTGTAAAAAGGAACTGACTGTTGATTCAGGCAACTTGGAAGGATTTATGGAAAATACTGCTTGGTTCCAGTTATATACTTTATATATATAATTTTTTATGTGTGGTGCTGGGGATTGACTCCAGGCACTCTACCAACTGAGCTATATCCCCAATCCCCAGCCCCAATTATATAATATTCTTGAGATAACAAAATTATAGAGTTGAATAAGAGATTGGTGGTTGCCAGGGACTGGGGAGAAGGGAATGCTATAAAAGGTAAGAATGAAGGATCCTCATAATAGAACTATGTGATCCCGATGGAGGTCATACAAGTGTGCACAGGAGGTAAAACTGCAAAGAACTGAGTACACAATCATAAGCAACTGCATTTAAATCTGGTGAAATCTGAAAGAGGTTGGTGGATTGTACCAATCTCAATTTTCTGTGGTGAGATTCCACTATGGGTCTGCAAGTTGTTACCATTAGGGAAAATTTGGTGAAGTAGAGTCAGGATCTCTGTGAATTTTAGTTGCTTGTGACTTTTTATCTCGGGACAAGGACAATATAAAAGTTTAAACTTTTTCATTTTAATATGATAATAGCTGAACACAATAAAAAACGACTTTTTATTACAGATGAGGGATCAGTCCACTCTCAATGTGGGGCTGTCTCAGTCCCCTGATGTGTGCACGTATCCTTTCACCTGGAACCATGAATGGACTCGAACACAGGACAAGGCCTTAAATGGAAGTGGAGCTGGGATGTCAGGAGGTGACCCCAGTGTCCAGACCAGGACATGCCATTCTCTGGAGGTCTGTGGGCTTCTCCTGTGTGCGCAGCTCCTGGTAGAATGCATGAGGTCATCAGTGGTCAGGACAAGGGTTCCGGAATCTTGGAAGCCACTGGATCCTGAACGCTTGGCTACGGCCAGCGCTCTTTCCACACTGTCTGGTGAGCATGGACTCAGCTCTGGGCCTTGGTCTGGAGAGAGCGTGACCTTGCTCTCACAGGGAGGGTGTCACTCTTCCTCTTCTGGGCGGTCCCCGTCCTGAGCTGTGCTCCTCTGAGGCATCCCAGGGAAGGAAGGGGGCATGGCTCTGAACATCAGATGAATGGCAGGGGATGAAGCAGGACACAGTAGGCCTCAAGTCAGGAGGGAGAGAGAACAGTGGGCAGAAGGAGAGCCAAGTGAAGCTGGGGGAGGGCAGCCCAGAGGGACTTGGCCACCATGGCAGCCTCAAGGGCCTCAGGAGCTCGGCACGGTGGCAGGGGCCACTCTGGCATCGTTTGGAGCCAGCCTCAATTGCCTGTGAACTGGCAGTTGTTTCCAAGGACTTGTACATAGAGCTGGTGACAAAGGAAACAAGTATGTGTGTCACCCAGCTTGACCCCATGGCAACACACCTGGCACTCATTGCCGCTCTTCCCTTCAGCTGAGACGTGAGTGCTCATGGCAGATCCCAAGAGCTCTGGCCATGGTCAAGGGACAAACCCAGATAAACTGAGTCACGGTTCTTCATCCAAAAATCAGGTGAATTGTAACAGTTGCCTCACACTTTATAAGGATGGAACGAGATATTTCTTAGTGCACAGATTAGCATCCAAAGTTTAACAAGAAATCAATAATTGTTAGCTACCATTACTGCAATTTAAATGATTATTGTCTCCCAAGAAGCAGGTCAAGCAGAAGGAAGATTCTGGTTGGAATCAGACGGGGTCCCTTACATGCTTCTGTCCCAAGGGAAGACAGGGTTCCTGTGAGGTCCACACCAGCTGCCTCCGAGCTCCAAACCAAAAGAACCACAGGAAGGGTCAGAAGCGCAGCAGTCATGGATGGGGAGGCAGGTGTGTGTGGCCAGTGGCCCTTTTGCCCCTGGTCTCTGGATGGATGAATGACAGACACCTTGGCCGCAGCCCTGTGGGGCTTCTCTTGACTCGCTTCTCTTAACTCGCCTGAGCCAGGCTCTGCAAGGGCATGGCAAGGAGGCGTCAGGGTAAACCAGGTGGTCACTTCCTGTTGGCTTTTGTATCTATGAGAGACAAACGACAGGGTAACTGGTTTGTCTCCACAGAGGTGTCACCCAGGCCGAATGGCCCCCAGGATGAGGCCCCAGAGTGCAACCCTGGCCTGCTGACAAGAGGTGAACAACTAGCTCCTGCTCTTATAGAGAAAGGTAAAGGGGGGGATGGTTGTCATTCCTGCCTTATGCTGCTAGGTGTCGCCTGCAAGTTCCTTAAGGCAGGGGACAGGCAAGGAGCCCAGGAGTGTCCCTCCAATGGTCACAGGGTGCCCTCTCCATGCAGCCCCGCAGAACAGTAGCCCTCTGGCCTCTTCAGCAGCTGTTCCTGAGCAGAGAAACAGGAGGAAGAAGGGCCAGAAGAAGAAGCGGGCAAATGCCAAGGCAGGTACGTCCCTGGTGGACCCTCAAGCGTCCTTGACCTTAGGAAGGGCCAGTGAGCACTTGGCACCTGTCTTCCCAGGCAGGTCTTATCTTTGGGGTCAGGGGCCCGGGAGGGTGGGTGCAGGAACTCCAGGGGCCATAGCCCTGCTCACCTGGGGCCTGTGTTCCCCAGCCACCCAGGAGAGCAGCTCTGCCGCCTCCACGGCAGCCTCCTCAGAAGCCATCTCCCAGCTGAAGCTCTGGAGGAGGAGGGGACAGAAGAACATATGGACTGTTGACCACATTCAGGGGACAAAACTGAGGATGAACAAGAGGAGAAGGCCCAGTTACCGCCCTGAGGACCAGGAAGCCTTCTACCGACTTCTGGGTGGGTTCTCAGCTGGTGACATGCTCAGGGTCCTTTGAAACTAAGAGTTGTAGAGAACTGGGGCTGGCCTCCCTCCCAGAGTGCAGGTGGCAGTGACGTGGAGCGCCTGGTCCTGTGGAGCTGTGAGGGCGCTTCTTCCTGAGCCACAGTCCTGGGAGGCAGGAGAAGGGGCTGCAGGTTGGAGAGCCATCCCCTGCTGGCTCAACTGCACCAGTCAGGACAGAGCGGAGGACACAAAAAAACAAACACGACCCACAGAAGCAGGGATCTCGGCAGTAGCCGTGAGGAAGATGTTAAGAAACGCGGGTGGAGGGGAGTAGGGGACTGTCAGGAAGCAGGAGGCTCAAGAAGGGCCACTTGAGAAGATGACATCAGGCCCAGAAGCAGACCCAGTGTGGCGGCTTGGGGACAACACCAAGGTCACACTGTCCCACACAGCATCCACTAGCCACATGAGTTAAGCTTTCCAGGTTCAGCTCTTCAGCCTCGCAAACCATTGGACTTCACAGGTGTGGGCATCCTCACCACCACAGGGCTCTGGGCACAGGGCTCTTCCGAGGGCAGGGGATGGGAGAAGACACCCCTGTGCAAGTGTCCCTGTCCTGGGCCAGGGGAAGGGTACACAGGGCCTGGTGCTCTCAGGGGAAAGCTCTAGCCACAGGAGCCCAGGGAGGGGGCCGCTCACTGCTGCAGGGAAGGAGGCCCAGCAGGCAGGGGCTGCGGCCTCGATCTCACAGTGCTCGGGGCAAGGCAGCACAGCACCATCACACGTGACAAAGTATCAGGCCGAGGTGTCCCAGAGTCGGAGACATGTCCAAGCTTTCAGGTGGAGGTACTATTAAGCTTTGAGAACCAGATCAAATCCTTTCAGCCCTCACGCCCCCACTGACGGTTCAGCAATAGTCCCACATTCATGCCCCTGCTGCCTCCAGTGGGCCAGGGGAGGGACGCGCATGCTGAGGCCAGCCCTTCCTGGGGCAGGGTGGCTGCTGTCCTCCTGGAGCTGCTCACTTGGAGAGCCCCTCTGAAGGCCCCACATAGGGGTTCCCCCATGTACACTCGTCTCCAGATGGCTACTGTCTGCTTCCCTCTGCAGAGGATCCCGTTATCCAGAGCTTCCTGGAGGCCGACATTTTCCTCAAAGTGTCTGACAAGGTATCTGCAGACCCCAAGTGAGGGGCAGAGGGTCCTCAGGGTCCCACCCCCAGGGGGCTGCCGGGGAGGTGACTTGAGTCATGCCAGGAGAAGGCCTGCAGGGGCCTACTCTCAAGGCCAGAAAAAAGAAGGGGCACACTGCCATTCTGCCCTGCCCCTCAGCTCATGTCCACGTGAGCTCCCCAGCCAGGCTCTCCTGGGTGTCTTGGCCTTCAGATGGGGAGGCCCACTCAGGACACCTTCCCCGTGTCCCCCACAGTATCTGCTGTCCATGGTGGTGGAGTACTTCGGCCGTGTTGGGCTTCCTGGACACCTCTACAACAGGGTCCACTTCTTCCTGGCTCTGTAAGCAACTCCTCAGGGCAGTGCTCCATCTGCCCAAGTCCCCGAATGGCATGTCTCCTGTCGCCCCATCAGCAAGGCTCAGTCATGCCACATGCCCAGTTGGGGCTGTTCTTGACCACAAAGTGGTTGAGACCTCCAGGAGCCAGGTGGTCATGGGAGAAGGGAAGAGGCCCTGAGATGGTGAAAATAGCCCCAAAGCACCACCAGCTGCCCAGAGACTGAGGGAGGAAGCCCCTGAGAAACAAGGGGCATCTAGAACAGGGTCCTCAACTGAGCACAGCACAGGCCCCAGGCTCAGAGTCAAGGGTGCCCTGGGCCCAGCAGATCCAGGTCACCCTGCAGAGAAGGCCTCCCCAGACCCTATCTCCGGGATAGGTGGTTATCTCCTGGTCAGCTCCATTGTGACCTCTCCCGCCTGTCCTTCTGAGGCAGGGAGTTGTGGTTAGGGACAAGCAAGCTTCCCATTTTCCCATGACAGCTACATCGCCTCCGACATGGAGGAGGACAACCCTACTCCCAAGCGCAGCATCTTCCAGTTCCTGCTGGGCAAGGAGCACTGGCCCGACCTCTACAAGGAGTTCCTGAAGCTCAAGGTGGAATTCTTCCACGCCATGGGGCACCGAGCCTGGGTCACCCCAGAGCTGTGTGAGGAGGTCTGTGGGGATTGACAACCAGGGAGGCTGGGAGACAGGAGGCAACCTGGAGATGTGTGGGCGGCCGTCCTCCAGGCTCACCTCTGCGTTTCCCTTTCAGATCCAGGCCCAGAATCCACACCACTGGGTCTGGAGCAGGGTGCGCCAGTGCGCCCCCTAGGTTCCCAGGGCCTGGGAACAACAGGCAGGGCCATGGAGCAGGAGCTGCAGATGGTCCAGGTGAGAGTGGGTCCTAGCTGGGGCCCCTGCAGGGTGGGCCAGTCCCCCACCCCCTGCCGTGTCCCTGAGGCCACTTCCAAGGCTGGGCTGGCAGGAGCAGAGGCTTTGCTGCAACCTGTCCCTGAATTTCTTCCCACATGTGAGGATAGTGAGGGCTCTGAGAACGCCTGTGGTAAAGAAAAGGTTTATATCAAAGTTCTGTGATTCCAGGGTTATGTAATGTGCAACACAGAGTCTCAGTTTGCAGGCAAGTGCACACCTGTAATCCCAGCTACTCTAGAGGCTGAGGCAGGAGGATGGCAGGTTTGAGACCAGCATCAGCAAATTTGCAAGATTCTGTCTCAAAATAAAATATAAAAAGGATGGTGATGTAGCTCAGTGGTAGAGCACCCCAAGGTTCAGTCCCCAGTACTTAAAAAAAAAAGTCTTAAATTGAATATTTTTTTTAAAGGAACCCTCTTGGAAATGCTTTTTTTCTGGGTAACAATCTTTGCAGAATTTTGATCTAAGTTGAAATTTTTAAACATAAATACATGAAAAACACTGAAATCATTCTTTCTGGGGAAGGGACTCTTACCACAGCGGCTCCTGGGAGGAAAGAAGATGAATCCCTACATTGCTCCTGTGTTTGGCATTTTGCTCCCACAGGAAGCAAATGCCCTGAGCTTGATCCTTGAGGATGCACTTGGCGTCTCTTCTCAGGGGCAGAAGGAGTTACCAGAGAGCTCTCTGATCTCTGAAAAAATAATAATTATTATTATATATAATACTTATATTATATAATTATATAATATATATTATAAGATATATATATATATCATTCCTGGGGACAAAAGGAAGACAGTGCCCACATGGAGCTTTGAGGGGGACATACCAGAAGATGTGTTGGCAGAAAACCATCCCCTGTTCACTCATGCTCAGTGTGCTTCCTCTGGTTTAGATTTCCTTTACCCTTTGGCTTTGCTTAGGTTGGGGAGGCCACTAGTCAAATGTATAAGAAATTCTGCGGGGCAGAAGGCTATACTGGGACAATCCTGTGCCACACATGGGGCAGGAATGGGCCTGTTCTGAGCCTGGGGACACAGAAAGGGGAGAGAGGAGAGCAGGTTGCTGTAAGCCACTGTTGATGTAAGTTTTTTGTTTCTTTTAGTACATTATAGTTATAATTTGGGGTTTGTTTTACCATAAGCATACATACATGGAATATAATTTACTCCACTTCAGTCTCCAGGACTTTCTCTTATATTTATTGATAGTATTTTTTAATTGTGCATCCAAGTTTGAATTCATCCACAGGTTTTTTTGTGTTTTTGTTTTTGTTTTATTGGATCAAAAACAACCATATGTATTTATCAGGAATCTCAAAATTCCAAAAACAAATAGCAGAATCCCCCTTGGGTCCCATCAGTCAGAGAAGTGCGGGTGGCTCCATCCTCCATGTAATCCCATGTGTGATGCACAGGAATTTGCCTCCACTGATGGCTCTTTCTCTTTTCTTCTAGCTCCCGCCCACCCCTGCCTCCCCTTCCCCTCCCCCTCCCATGACACAGCTGCCTCTTCCCAGGCTCCAGGCAGCTGTAGAGGCATCATGGGGCTTCCCTCAGACAGGCAGGACAGACGGAAGAGGATGCAGGGTGAGCATGGACCATGGCGGCCTGCAGCTGGGAATCCAAACCAGCCGAATGAACCACTGCCCATCTTTAAGCGGATGTCAGCCAGCCAAGCCCTAACCCCTGCATGCCCTTGGGAAGGGTCCAGCAGGAGACCCCCAGAACAGGAGCTTCAATGGAGACTGAGGAGAGGGAGAGGCAGAAGGGAAAGTCCAGGGAGGGCCTTGGACCACGGAGGAGGAGGAACTGGAAGGATGAGTCCAAATCAACTACTGGAAGGTGGCAAGGAGGGAAGGAGTGGGCGCAGAAGGAGAGAAGCCATGAGAAGAGGAGCAGAGCCCCTGCAGACAGGCAGGGTCCTGGGACTCTACTCGCAGCCCTTTCTGCATAATGGACTAGATTACCCGACGGAGTCCTATCCCACGAGATGACCAAGAAGTCTCAGCCAGGGGACCAAAGGGTGGCGGTGCTGAGCGTGTTGGTGCATAGACCCAATGCGGAAACGAAAGCACAAATAAGAAATCATCTGCCACCACAGTGTACATCCTGGCAATATGGACATAGCCCAGTTTGAAAGATGAGAGGGAGGGAGGGGAGTGGAAGGGCTCATGAGGAGGAGAGCTAAGAAAACAGTGGAAGCCAAGGTACCAGAAGGAGATGAGAACACAAACACGATCATCCCAATGCCAAAAGTAATGCATACAACAGATTTAAAAGAGCAAAGAAAACAGAACAGATACACAGAAATTTAATGTAAGAAATAGAGCAAATACAATATATAAATAAGACACTGCTAAGACCAGCCGTATTATTTGTTTTAATAAATTTGAACTCACTACAAGAAGAAAAATTTTCAGATCGACTCATACTACACTGCGTGTGAGATGATACCCCAGAGATTCAGGATACATTGATTTGGGGAAACGAAGGTAAATCAGGTAAACATTCCCAAAGTAAGAGGAGGAATTATGATCTGGATACAGAGGGAAGGAAAAAGCAGGCTCAGAATCCTTCATTTAGACGAGGAAGGACACGCAGATGGGGTGGGAGGCCCTGGGCATCCAGACCCCAGGGAGGTGGGAACATGACCAGGCATTAAATGATCCAGAGGCCTAGGCTGGTCCCCTGAGATTTGGTTTGCTCAGGTTCAAGTTTTACAGCTCTGTGTAGCTATTCTAGATGGGCAATTTTATTACAGAGCTGCTTATAGGTAAAAACTGCCAGGGCCAGAGAGAACCTGGCAGAGAATTTCTGCCAACTACAAGGTTCCCAGGGACCCCACAGTCAAGTGCAAGTTGAGCATCCCTAATCCAAAATTTTGGAATTTAAAATGCTCCAAAATCCAAAACTTTCTGAGCACAGACATGACACAGTAAATGGAAAATTCCACAGGCAAATCCAAAAATATTGTATAAAATTACCTTTGGGGCAATTTTTAAATGACCTTAAAGTTCTAGGATTTCACAATAAGACTTTGCATTCAGTGTCTTGGTTTGCAAAGTCCATTCCTATTCAGTGTGGGGCCCATGTCCAGTGCCTGTCTTAACACGAGAGACTACACGACTTTCAGATCCCAGGGTTTGCACAGGAACCCAAGCAGAAAAGGTGTGGATGTGGGGAGTCAGTGACCAGAGGGCACAGAAGCCCTAGCAACACACTAGGAATGCAGAGGTAGGGACACCTGTTCTAGCTGGTTTTAGATTGCTGCAGCCAGTGGACACAGCTGTCTGCTGCAACCAGTGCTGGGAGCACAGAGCTCCATCCTCAGGCCTCCAATGGGCTCTTCCCACCTGACACCACAGGGAAAACCCTTTAAGATAGAGAAGACGTATCAAAAACCCAAAGTGGACATCCAGTCCCCAGCTAGGCCCTGGGCTCTGTGAAATGACGCACAAACAAGGGGGGATGTGCAGTGAGATGACACTGGTATGGGGATTTGGAGGAAGCTGTGCAGGATGTGAGTTGAGAGTTTGCACTTGACTCATCTAGATCTGGAGGGGCAGAGAGGCTGCAGCTCTGCTGACTACTAGCAATGGGCTGAAAACGCCTTCAACTTCAGAAATGTACACATTATCTCTCAACGTTTCCAGCCAGTGATTCTTAACCTCTGAAATGCTACATTAAGCACTTAGAGTGTGTGCGCGTGTGTGATGTGTGTGGCTGGGGTCAAGCCAGGGCCTTGCATGTCGCCAGGCAAGTGATCTCCCACTGAGCTACACTCCACCCTGAAGTATTCTTAAGTGAAAGATACACACAAAAATGAATGCAAGGCAAATGAGGAAACACAAGTGGCACTAGCTTCCCACTGGTCTGTAGGCTCCCTTAGGGACGTGACCACCCCTCATGATGTAGCGTTTCTGAGTCCCTGGAGCACGTGGTCTACAGCTTCACAAGGCAGACTCGAGGCGGACCCATTAACTACAGAGGTAAGGCTGGCCTTCACACCAGCATGTGGGAATAGAAGTGGGAATTAAGATAGCTGTTTTTAGACTTTGAGTTTAGTATAAAGTGTTTATTTAAAAATGCCAATTTTGTTTTATACCACACAAAACAAAGAAATATTTTCAGTTAAAAGAAAAAACTTGGAAGATATCCATTATAATGTGACCGAAAAGGCAACACACAGACCAATACAGTGAGTCTAACTCCAAGAAGTTACATGAAGAGGGCGTTCATTTGTCTGCTTTTCAAACGTTCATAAGCTCCGCCTGGCGCCGTCCTTCCACTGGGACACTGGGCCTTACTGCCTGAGTCTCCTGGGCTAAGGCAGGTGGTGGTGGCAGCTCAGGGTAGGGAGTAGGCAGGGGCTCAAGAGCCCAGCCTGCTGAGGGAAGCAGGCCTGGTGTCTCTGCCTCAGACAGCCCCTCAAGGGAGCACAGGCATCGGCGCCCACCTGGGAAGGAGGACTTGTCCCAATGTGTGCTTTCTTTTTCAGTTCCGGCTGCCTACGGAAGTGGTGACTCGTATTCCTAGCTACGTACATCAGGTAAGATGGACAGGGAGTCACTGAGGAGCAGGAGTCACGCAACAGAGACATGGCTGCTACTCCTCCTGCCTCGCGGCCCATCGACCAAGGTGACCAGCTGGCTTCCAGCTTTAATTGAGGTGACGTGGGCCACTTCAGCACCCAAACCCTTCCCCACCAGATGGGCTTCTTCAGCACCCCACATGCCTCTTAGGAGGTTTAACTTTCTGGACATGAGACTTTTCGAGTCTCGTAGAAAGCTAAAAGTGACCTGTGAGGATCCTCATGTGCCTGCTCAAGGGCAAGCGCCAGCGATCTCCTTGGCAGGCCCAACGATGCCGTGGCCACACCTTCTGCCGCCTCGCTCTGACCCGAGTCCATATGTATCTAAATATGAAACGCTTCCCAAGTCCTTCCACGGTGAGAGAAAAGCACATCACCCGCCAAACACTGCGAGTAAAGGGGGGAACTGTTGCCTGGGCAGTGCCTCAGTTTTTTTTCATTGCTGTGGATCCAACCCAGGGCCTCGAGGGTGCTAGACAAGTGCTCCCTGGGTTATTCAAATCTTGACTCAGATGGAATTTTCATAATTCAAAACTTTTTTATGTAACTAGAAGAAGAACTGTTTAAGCGTGGAGGGCAGCAAGTCTTGCCCCAGCAGTCAGCCCATCCTTCCCATGATTCACTCCGGAGCAGGCTACTGGGCAAGGGGAGGATGCTTGGCCTCTGGCTGCAGCCCTTCAAGTCCAGCTTCCCCTGCGGAGGAAAGTGGCACACAAGATTTTGGGAAAATCTCAATGGAGACATTCTCTTTTGCTTTAATATTTATTTTTAGGCTTAAACATCACAATTCATGATATGGAAGAAACGTGAACTCAATGGGTGACATCTTGCAGCTTCCAGCTGCCACATGGCCCTGGCCACTCCAGAAGCCTGGGGCCTGGGCAGAGTCCAGCAGGGAGCTCCTCCCCCTGGGTCAAGGCTGGGAGCAGGAGACGTGTGTGGCACGCAGACATTCTCTAAATCCTGTGCAGAATGTTTTCTTTTAAATATCATTTCTGAAGACTCCTGGGTCCTGGACGTTTCATATTTCAGCTACTTAGAGAAGGCTTCATATATTGGTCTGCTCGGGCTGTCACAACAGAAGAGTACACATTGGGGGTGGCTCGGGTGTCAGGAATCCATTACTCAGAGCTGTGGAAGCTCAAGTCCGCGATGAGGGAGCCAGCAGAGGGGGTCCTAGCGAGGGCTCCTCTGACGTGCAGGCAGCCTCCTTCTTGCTGTGTTCTCAGATGGTATGGAGAGCAAGGTCTCTCTCCTTTTTCCTGAGGTCACAGTTCTATCAGAGCAGGGACCCACCCTCATGACCTCACTTAGCCTCAGTTACCTTCTACAGCCTTCTCTCCAAGTCCCATCACTCTGCGGTGAGGACTCAACATGTCACCTGGGCCACCATTCAGTCCACAGCACTTCCCATCAGCAAGTCTTATCGTAGCTCCTGTGAGAGGTGTCACACCAAAAGAATGTCTCCCACCATTCCGGGAAGAATAACCTTACTTTAGATGGGACACCTGTGATATTTCAGGCAATGTTAGGGGAAGTAGAAAGTCAAACTTTACCACATAGCTTCTGTTAAAACTTTACATTTTTGAGCACCAACACTTCACCCGAACCACCATAGTTCAAAGACTTTAAAACTAAAGCAATCATCAGGAGTTTTGAAAACCAACCAAAAACTTTATTTACAAAAGTAAATTTTAACTCACTTTTTTATATCATATAATGTTAACGCTGATAGCAAGATTCTCTGGAATATTTCAAACAGATTTTAAAATACAGTGAGGTGTGTTCAGGTCATTTCCCCTAGCTGTATTATAAAACTTTGAAATGCTTCTTTAGCTTAGACATTTGGTCACGTTGTGTGCAGAAGTCCCATTTCAAGGTGGGTTTATCCCAGGCGCAGTCACATAACCATCGGCTGTGGATTTCCAAGGAGCAGAGGAGCCAACCTCAGCAAAGCACGCACCGGAATCTTCAGCTGCTTGGCTCTGAAGAGAAGTTCAGCAAAGCTCGTGCTCCCTGGAGAAACGCAAAGGGGAGGGTCACACCTGTCAACTCTAGCCACATGCCCCTGCCCAGGAAGCTTCCGAGACACCCTCGTGCTGAAAACAGGTGTTCCTCCCTCTGAAAACAATAGCCCAGGGTAATACTCAAATTATGAATTTCCCTAATGCACTCTTATACAGAATTTGATATAAAAATTTAAACTTATCCATCCTACATTTCAGACAGTGGACTCTGTGAAATTATTAATAATAATTATATACAGTATTTAAATATAATTAGTAAATGCACCTGTCCACCTTCAATTACTGTTTAAGTAACTTTATTTTACTGGTCCTGACAGTTTAATTCCTAATCCAAAAACTGGATCCTTTTCCTAAAACAAGCACACAGACAGAGGACGAGCCTCAGAACCAGTTCAATGCCTCCTCCACTAGAGAACAACTCTCCCGCTTGGTCCCAGAAAGCCTGCACAGCACTCTGGAGTGTGGCCAGAGTGCAGGGTCTTGGAAGCTGCCAGGTGATTCCACTATGCAGCCCAGGTCTACAGCCAGAGAGGTCTGAGGGTGCCCCCTGAACGGCCCTAGCACCATCGTCCTCCAGCCCCCCTGCCACCAGTCCCAGTCCCAGGCCCTCCTGCCCGTCTTTTAGTGTGCCTTACAATTTTCTATTGTATGCCAGGAACTTCGAGCTTTGCTTTCCTGAGTACTGAGTATTTCTGTATTACAGAATTTGTTCTCAAATAAAGTTAAATTACATGAAAATCAATAGGAACGTCTGGTGTCATGCTTTTAAAAACTGCTAGGTGGAACCAAAATTCTGCTTAGGGCTACTTTTTCCCCTCACTGAGGCAAGTCACTGTTAAGCATCAGCCTAAGGCCCCTGGAGTTAGGGACCTGTGGGAACGGGCTTACTCCTGGCCCTGTGCACACAACTGCCAAGGTGCCCTCTAGTCCGCTTGGTCAGCTCCTCCCACCAGGCCTTCCTTCCCACACAGTTTGACTGGTGAGTTCGGACTCTGGAGGGGCCCTCTGCCAAGTCAGGCATGCTCAGTGTGCAGCTCTTTCCTCTCGGGTCCCCACCTTGCAGACTCCCACTCCCCTGCTCCCCGTCCCCTGAGCTCCCATCCTCAACTCAGGGGGCTCTGCCTGGGCTCCCTTTCCCTCCCCCACAGCGTGGAAACTCCCTTAAAGAGGTGAGTGGGGGAGTCACAGGGCTCCTCCTTGGCTTCTCATCTCTCCTCTCACTGTTCTTCTCTGCCTGAGATACAGCCTCAATATGGATCACCCAGTACACTCTCTGTTTCAGCCAAGAGGGGAAATCAGGTCCCTCAGCTCCATCCTAGGTTAAAAAGGAAGTCTACGCTCTAAAATGTTTTCCTTTTATTGTTTGACTATTACAGAGCTAGTGTGGATTCACTGTATTTTCTTTTGTATCACTGTGGGTTGGCATTCACCAACATTTTTCAAAATCGTTAGCCTCCATCTCTTCAATGTTGCTTCTTCTCATCCACCTCTCCTTTTACAACGTGACCACAGCCACATGCGCTCGCTGGCTCTCCTTCACTGTGCTCCTCGCCTCTCACAGTCTTGTATTTCCCACCCTTTTCTCTGTGCTTTGACCTCTCTACCTTCCCCTCTCCTGTCATCCTCTTCATGGATCTCTCATATGCTCATTAACCCATATACTGAATTTGTAATTTCAGTATTCTATTTTTCACTTCTAGAACTTCTAATTAACTTTTTTATTGAATCTGGGTTTCTAGTGAAATTCGCTATCTTTCCCAATGTCCATTTTCTTGGAAATATTAGTCTTATTTGTTTTTTGCGTTTGCTGGTGGTACTAGGCATTGAAACCAGGGTTTCATGCATGCTAGGCAAGAGCTCTAAGCCACATCCCCAGTCCTTCTTATTTTGAGACAGGGTCTCCCTAAGTTGCTGAGGCTGGCCTCCAGCTTGAGATCCTTCTGCCTCAGCCTCACGAATTGCTAAGATTATGGACGTGCACCACCGTGCCCCAGCGGAAATATGAGTCTTAGTTATTTTAAGTCCCAGTCTGTTAACTCCTACATCTAGGTCATATAAGGGCCTGTTTCTATCACCTGTTTTGTTTTTTTCTTGTTATGACTTATAATGCCTTATTCAACACTAAAGACTGTTTGTTAAAGAGGCTCTGGGTATTTTTTCCTAAGGAGGCTAGCTTTTCTCCCACCAGGCAGGGAGAAACAAACAGCCTTCGTGGTTTTGCTCTTTGTCTGGACAGCATCAGTTTTACCTCCCCACAAGACCTGGATGATACCATTTCATGCAAAGGGCAGGCTGCATAGCAGAGCCACTTCCCTTGGCAGGCCTGACCTGTGCCCTTTGCCTCTCGGCACCAAACAGGTGCTAAAACACCTGTGCACATTTGTAGCCTTCTGGCTTCTGTTAGACCTCCACAAGTCTGGCCCCAAGTATACACAGATGAAGATCTGGTGAGAGCCTCAAAGGAAAAGTGCTTCCAGGACCCAGCTACCTTTCCTTCTGTTCCCTCCCACCTCGAGTCAGGCTCCTAGACAATCATAAAGCCAACCTCCGGATCCTTGGCCCAGCAGCACTGCTCTTCTTGCCTGGGACTCCACTTCCTGTGCTGTGAGCTGGCACAGGCCGGGGTAATCCCAGAGTTCTCTCCCTGTGTGCCCCTCCTCAAGGACTTGCTTGAAGACTGCCTCTCAACCACGTCCTGCCAGCAAGGTCACGACCAGTTTCTTTAAACAGATATTCTGTCTGGCACAGTGACACACGCCTATAATCCCAGCAGCTAGGGAGGCTGAGGCAAGAGGATTAAGAGTTCAAAGCCAGCCTCAGGAAAAGCCAGGCACTAAGCAACTCAATGAGACCTTATCTCTATTAAAATTCAAAATAGAGTGGGGATGTGGCTCAGTGTTCAAGTGCCCCAGAGTTCAGTCCCGTGTGTCACATACACACACATACACACACACACACACACAAAAAGCAGCTATTCCCAATGCTTTGTCTAGCTTTTACATTTGTTTTTGTGGGAGAGTCAGTCCAATGAAAGCAATCTCATCATGACCATAACTAGACGCCTCGCCTCCATAAAATGCATTTTCATCTGAGGTTTTCAAAACAGCAATAAACTAATAACATCATTAAATTTTAAGTGATTAAATGAAAACAGCTTTTGTGCTTCTAAAAATATTTTTTACCTTCAATTGAAGTGACATCGATTTAAAAGTGATATCTTACTATATTATTCACCCCATTGGATAAACTTTGTATTTGTTTCCATATTCTAAAAAATACAGTAGTTTTAATGCTATTAATTTTTTACACTCTCCAGCATAAGAAAACCTACACATACACAAAATGAGGTTCCTGTGAATTTTAAAACTTTATAATAACAAAAGCTAAGATTATATAATTATAAAAATCTTAAAGACACAAAATCCTAAAGAAAATTTTAAAAACTTAAATTAAAAAAATCAACTAATAGAAGGGCTGGTTGTGGCTCATAAGTAGAGTGCTCGCCTGACATGCGTGAGGCTAAGTTCAATCCTCAGCACCACATAAAAGTAAAATAAAGCTATTGTGTCCACCTATAACTAAAAAATATATATTAAAAAAGAGCAGTGTAGACTAATTTTAAAAAATTAACTAATAGGAATCACATGAACAGTTAGCGTATCAGTAGATAATGCTAGATACACTGATTGGCAGTTGTGTGGAAAGAATCCATCCTCTTCTCAATATAAATAGAAGTGCAGGTAGATGTAAAGCACATGTAGTTTTGTTTTCAGAAAAAATTCTCAATGATGACAAATGAAGCACAAATGAAGAGGAAGGCTGAACAGGAGAGAGTAGCTCACCACACAGCCCAAGCACACAGGGACTGGTGGCACGAGCAAGCAGAACGACACATACTTACCCTCCAGTCCTGCAGGCGGCAAGTGCCGTGGGGCAGGCACAGAATGATAGACGAGGAAGCAGGCCAGCATGCTGAGCTCAGGCCCCTCCACGGGCTGCCCGCTGAGATAGGCCTGCACACACACGTCGCCCCCAGCTGTGAAGGAATGAGAGGGCACTGAGCTGAGGATACAACAGGGTGCAAAGGAGTGCCTTACTGCTTTTTCTTCAAGAACTCAGCTGGGCGTGGTGACGCACACCTGTGATTCTAGCTACTGGGGAGGCTGAGGCAAGACCAGTCTCAGCAACTCAGTGAGACCTGGTCTCAAAATACAATAAAATTAATGTAAAAGGGACAGAGGGTTAGCTCAGTGGTAGACGCTTGCCTAGTATGTGCAAGACTGGATCTCCTGTACTGCCAAAACAACAGGAGTTTTTCTATGGTTCTCCATTAGAAAATGAACTCGCTCATAGTTTGGTAAATCAGAGTGGCAAGTGGAATTAAATGGAAGGTCAGAAGATGGTGAAGTCCACCCAATGCCCTAACAAATGGGACAGCCCAGGGTGGCACTTTAAGAAATGCTCCAGTCACTGCCAAAGTTTCACTGTGTTGTGTGATTTTTGCAAATCAGTGAACCTGGAAAGATTTAAGGGCCTGGTTCTCATCAGTAGCACAGGTCTGCTACCAGTAATCAAATGCAAAACTCAATAAAAAGAAAAATACAAAATCTATGAAATAATTTGTGTATTTCCCCCAAAATAAGAATAAAAATGATTATTTTTAAAAAAGTTTTAAAACTATGTGATCTTTTAAATCCCAAGAGGAAAGCAAAGGGTGGATAAACTGCTAAACATGAACACCAGGAGTTTGAAACTGCTGCTCCCCATGTCAATCCCCCACAATGTGGTTTACCACTTGATTTTTCCCCCAGAAACTTATTTCCTAGAGGGATAGATTTTAACTGAATTATATTCAAACTCTTGGGTTCTACTGATAATTGATAGCATAAAGAATCAAGCAAGAATTGCTACTACTGATATTACTAGGGCCAGTATCAACCCAAAGCAGGTTGCTATCAGATATTCATTGGAAGCATATGAATGAACTGAATAGACTGAGAAGTTGGAGGAGTGGACTATGGAAAATCAATGTGAAGCTATGTAACCAGAAGACACATCTCCACAAACACAGGGCCCATTTGACAATACGCCTTTCTGCAATCACTAGTCGGCGCTTCTGTGGCAGAAAGCCACTGTCAGTGTCCCTGGTGCTCACTCACTGGCTCACAGACAGGTGAACAACATCCACTCAAGAAGCACATGTCACCTTCAAGTGTATGTGGGCTGAGACATGAAAAAGAAAGGCAGTGGCTGCTGGCCTCAGGTGGGAACAGGTTAACACCCACAAGAAGCAGAAGACAATGTCATCTGATGCCAGGGAGGATAAGACAAGGCCCCAGTGGTATTAAAATGCTGCATATACTCTCTGTAAGGTTTAAGGGAGGGCTGCATGTGTTCTCTAAAGTGGAAACAGACAATCAGAGTCTAACTCACCTCATTGGAAGGAAGCATGCCCTCTATAGGCATTCTGGCTAATACTTAGTGTATCCTACTTTCAATGAAAAACTGTAAGAAGAGGAAAGGCGGGGCCCAGCGTATTTCAAGCACACCAAGGCACAATGCTGTCATTACCTTGCAGCCACTGGTCCAGGGTGCTATCAATAGTGCACTTCACCACGGGGAGGAATTCAGAGTGCATGAAGAGCCCCCGCTTGGGGTGGTTCTGCAGCCGCTCCTGATGGCTTCTGGAGCTGAAAAAGTCTAACACCAACTTGATCTGCCAGAGCTCTGATGTGTCAGACATCTCTTTTTTTCGAAGTCTTCTTATAGCCTGGAAGAGAGAAAAGGAACAGTGATCCGTTTCATGAAAAGGCAAAGTGATTTAATCGTCTTCCCCAGTGTGTAATACCACAGTCCTTTTTAAATGCAGCTCATAAGATCAGTAAAAGGCAGTGGGAAACTATACCTGATCCATTGCTATGTATGCAGGCAACATTTCTGGGGTCTCCTGAGTAACACATTCATAAAGCACTGAAGAAAAGAGATCCAGAATTTCCTGTTTCTGTGGAAAAATCACAAGTATTTTATAGAACAAAGAATTTTCCAAAATCGACTCAAGAGACAATTGTACAACAACCACTATGGCCCACCCTTAATGTGCTTCAGTGAATGATACAATGGTAAGGTCTTTAAAACTCACAGGACAGGCTACACTCAAAATCAATGAAAAACAAACAAAATTAGGTCCCAAAGGATAGTGAAGGATAGCACATGCCTTGGAAGAGAATAATAGATCAACTAGGGCAAAAGGAGGAGGAGGAACATCAAAGAATCTGCTTTGGATGGGCTGGGAAGACCAGGGTCCCAAGGGGAGCACACAGGGTCCAGAAGGTAGCATCAACAAAGACACAAGAGAAGACATTGCCCAGAACAAGTCTGGAGGAAGCAGGTTTGAAGGGCAGCTGGGGAAGGGCAGGCTCAAGCATTCTCAGAGACCTATGGCCTTTAGCGCACATCCCAGCCCTTCCTAGCATGTGATCCAGGGCACATGACATCTCTGAGAGGCAGTTTCCTCATCCCTAAACCCAGAGTAATAAAGTATCTATCCTCAGGGTCAGAACTAAGTAAGAAAACTATGTAAAGTACTCAACAGAGTCCAATATATAGTGAGAATTAGCCAATAAGAGGGAAGGTCACATCATTCAACCCTCAGAGCAACACTGCAAGGTGCACTCTGTTAGAATCCCAACTTAGACATGAGGAAATGATGTCTTAGAGAGACTTCAGAATTTCCCCAAGGCCAAACACACACTTTAGACAACAGGCTTCAACCCTAGATCATCTGATTCTTACATGCACTCTTTCCCTGTTGGAATAGCGGGTCAAATCAGGGGCCACTGGGCACCCTTGATATTCTGAAGAGAACACTGTATTCCCAACAGAAAGAAAGGCTATGATATACACAGGAAACAAAATTAATGAAATTATATAAAAACAAAAAAGCTGGTAAACACTGGAAACAAATGAGTTCAGAAAAGAATATCCAAAATTACCACTCATCAAAACTGTGTCTGAGGAATGTTAATTGGTTTTTCTTATTAAGGTAGGAAATTTATAATTATTTCTCCTGAATTTAATTAAAGTAGGGAATTCTACGCTTGTCAAAAACCATCTGAGGCAAGTCATGGATCTCAAAGACAAATATGGCTCTTAGAGATGCTTTCTGTGGTCCCAGCTAGAAGTAACAACGGATTCTAGTTCCAGAGCTCAGCAACCACACAGTACTTACCTGGCCCATGTTCACAGTTGGTTTGCAGAAATATTCAGCAAATGACAGAAGGGCTGCATCAGAAGTGAATGCTGAAATTGTTTCTGGCTAAAGAGACAAACATCAACATAAGTGAGATAATAAAAGATCATTTTCCTTTCTGCTCAAATCATAATGTGGAGTTACAAGAACTCTGCTCTCCTGCCTCACAGTGTCCACACAGAAGCAAGATGGTGCCAACTTTGCTAGAACTTCCTCAACCTGTTCCATTAAGAAGGCACACAAAGCCTTCGGCCCACTGGTTTATCAAAAGGCCAATAATAGGCAGGTCTTCTATTTTGTACAACTCCCCTGAAAAAGGCTTCCCTGTCCTTTATCTAATGTACAAGCCTATTTGACACTGGAAAATGAGGAGGAGGAACGATGAAATAAGCCAGTCACAAAAGGACAAGACCACAGGATTCCACTTATCTGAGGTACTTGGAATAACAAATATCAAAGATGAAAGCAGAAGGGTAGCTGCGTGGCAGGGAGAAGGGAAATGGGGAATCTAAGGTCTGAGATTGAATGTGGAATATGAAAGTATAGCTATTTTCCACCAAGGTCCATATTTTATTTCTGAACTCCCATCAGGCAAGAAGTTGAGATATCTCTTTGCGGTTTTGCTTTATTTTTTCCCAGTGCTGGGGATCAATCCCAGACCCTGTGCATGCTGGACAAGGGCTCCACCACTGAGGTAGACCCCTAACTCATCTTTAACTTTTATATTCTTTTTCCATTGAAATTCAAATCTTAACTTCAAATTTACAATTCTTTACAAATTGGATTAGTCTCTGAGATAGAGAGCCTAACTTAAACTTTGTAAGATTGCCTCACAGACAACCTATTAAATATTGCCAGACAAAATTTGCTGATGTCAACCCTGGGAACTATTTACAGTTTTAAATCCTGGTAACTATTATAAAAGCTCTATCAAAAATAATTAACCTAACATGAAATGTGAATGGAATTAAAATAAACTACTTTCTCCTTACTTGGAAGAAGAAAGAATGCTCATTCAATCCTCTGGCTGCCATGTAGCTGGTTGACCTGACAAGTTCTTGCTTATACATAATTAGGGTCCTGGCTATATTGGACTATGCATCATGAGCAAGAACATACTTGCTCCTGGAATTTCTAAAAACTGGGTTTAAATTCTGAGATTTTAGTGATTATGAACAAATTTCTAGTGTAGGAAACCTAAAGTTCAGAATGTAGAACAGATACACACTAAAACTGTCACAAGGATGAAAGTATGCATTCATTCTTTTATTTAAACCATTTCTTCATTTTAAACTTCATTTAAACTTCATTTTAAACTGTACTGGCAGTTAAGTAGCAGGGAAATAGTAACATAAACTAATAAAAGAAGCCTATTATATCTGTCATCATGTGATCCTCACCAAGATCTAAGAAACAAATGATGGTTTAAAAATGGAAAATAATAATTGCTAGCTTACAAAAATCTCTTATTTTTGCTATGAATTAAGTAAATATTCACTGACTTGTGGGTTTTTTAATAAATAAAATTATCGAACTAAATTACAGTACTAAGATATATTGTGACTGTCCTTGCCACACAATGCAAGTCTTACTTAGAGTACTGACTGACCCTATTTTATTAAGGCCATCAGATAAAACAGCAAAGGAACCCAACATTAATCAGACATCACAATCTGCAGCAACAAGAAGCTAGAGGGACTTGGAACTATTTCCTCCTGTCTTTTTACCAATTGCTTTTACCAATCGGTTCTACCTTGAAAGCACGGGCTTCAGAATTCCTGTTGGCAACAGTCTGGGCCAACAAACTTTGCCACCCCATCGGATCTTCTTTGTAGGAGAGCTGACCTGCACGGAGCTTAACATATAAGACCCCATCCTTGGAAAGAATAGACCTAAAAGAAAAAGGCTGAACTTACTATAAGGCACTATTGGCAGTTCATGGCTAGAAAAACAGTGTTTTCCAACGTCACATTTACAGGAGAGGAAGTCTACCATCCCCCACCAAATCCAATGGTGATTTACTGTCTCTAACTTAAAATAGCCCTCAATAGAAGGCCTGAAATAGAGTCCCACCTCCCTTCCTGCCTAGTCACAGAACCTGTCAAAGGAGAAGGCATCTTCATCATCTGTTGCAAGAGGAGCTTCAATGGTGGTATTTTAACTAACACTTCCTGGTGTTTCCCATGTCCCTTATCACTATGTATGGAATACACGTGCATTTATTCATTGCTCTGCAGCAGAGAGGAAATAATACTACAAATCTAAAATCATAGCAACACAAAAGCCAGTTACCTGTATAGAGTGGGAAAATAAAAATGGGACAAAACTGAAAAAAAGAATGTTACATGACTTAACTTTCTGGATATTTAAAAGACTTATACACAACCTAAGTTTTAAATTATTAACAGTCTGAGCAATTCCTTGCATATGACTATTTCCACCTCAAAACAATCTACTATAATTTTAAATTATGAGAATATTCTAACAAGAGAATAGTAAAGAGGCACAACAGGAAAGACATGTGGGACCATCAGTTGTCATGACGAAGTCCCCTCCGTGGACATATGTATCAGCCTTACTTCCCTAAACTAAATCTTTCACTAATGTACCAAGAAACAATCCATTTGCTGTCTCAAAGTCAGTTCAAGTTTCTCAATGAATAAATATAAATATTTAGGGCTTTATTCTGAATTAAAGTCTTCACTTCCTAATGCAAACTCTATTATCAAAGATTAAGACCACTTTATTCGATACCTACCCTACACACTATCTTGGAAGAAATCAAAGGGTGATCATACTCAGACAATGATCTATAATTTATACCTCCCTACATTTCTGTTCATTTTCTAAAAGGTATATTTTGAGAAATTCAAAATTCAATATACTTACTTCAAGTGCTGTGTTCCCTTGCTTAAATCTATGAGCAGTTCCCAGTATCTTGGGCCTTTAACTTTAATCTGTCAAGATAAATGTAAACACAGTCAGTCAAAAACTGAAAAAGTGCTCGTGTTATCAACTGAAATCCATGCTTCTCAGAGGACATCCTAACTCAGTAGGAGGAGACACTGAGGTCAACCTGACATGGCAAGTGGGTCCCTTCTTGAGGGCACCGAGCCTACTGGGAAAGCTCTCCGAGACAAGACCTCTGTTCCTCATGACTCTCCCCCCGCTACACATAAGCCTCTGCCTCTAACCAAACACAAGGAGGGCAGAGGCTTGTGTGTAGTCACTGTTAATGTGACACCCCTCTTGAATTGAACCCTTGGACAGACGTCCCTAAGTCACACCCAACTGACCTGCTTTAATAGGTGGAGTTCTGGAAGAAGGGTCGGAGCCATCAGTTCTTCTTTGGTTTGTTCATACCACTGAGTGCCCTTTACAAAGATAAAAGTACAGCCACAGTTTACCCAGTGGTCAGCAGAAACTCCAGAGGAATCGTCTACAGTCCACACCTCCCCTTCCCTGCAGACTGTTCAGAGACCACCAAATGGCCTAAAATCCTCTCTGGTACTCAAGTCTTAGGGAATGAGTCTCAGTTCCTCTACAGGGCATGTGTCACTTCCCATGATATCAAGCTCTGCCCTTCACAGCCAGCAGCATGAGGGGCCACACTGGCAAGGCCTCTGGGTTTATGCACATGTTGTCCCCTGTGCTGAAAAAAAGCCCCATTCTCCTGGCACATGTCCACTATGACAACTGCCCCAACCATCAGAGCAGGACAAGGACACTTCACCTCTGTACTCTGCAAATCCTCCCATGGTCACACCCTATTCTCAGTACACCCTTGTCTGGCTCATCAAGGCACAGAAGCTCCTCAGGGAATATGCCAATGCCACCTAGCTCGGTGTTGACACACAGAAGGAACTGAACAATTTGCTGAAGGAAGGATATATGACTTGCAACCTATTCATGCATCAAAATAAAAGATCACTCATCAAATATACAATTTTGGGTTTTTAAGTGCTCAGACAACAAACCTAAGAATAATTCTAACCCAATCAGACACTACCCAAGTAGTCTTTCAGACACCACTATAAGCCATGTACAGTTACCGGCAACATTTTTAAACTATAAGTTTCAAGGACAAAAGATAGCTGATGGTGCCTGGAAAAGTAACTCAGGGACTGTAAATGAGCGTCCATGTGCTGGCGGGTTGCACAAGAACTTGAGAAGCTTAAATTGGGGGTGAGAGTGTTAACAAAGGACTGAGTCTTTGTGCTCCACCACTGAGCTACACCCCCAGCACTTTTTGAGATAGGTTTTTGCTAAGTTCCCACATCTGGCCTCAAATTTGTGATTCTTCTGCCTCAGCCTCCAAGTAGCTGGGATTTGAGGCGTGCATCACTGCACCAGGCAAGGTGCAATTTTTATGAGAGTTCAACTCCCTACTATCACATTTTACTAAATAACACTTTTGAACCATTCTGACCTGCCCAGATGGATCACAAAAATTACCTTGTAAGTGACCTCTAAGAGGGCGTAGCAGGGCGTGTTCGTGTCCACATCCACCGGCACCAGAAGCCTGGGCTCTGCAGCCAGCACATAGAGGTGCCGCAGAGCCTGGAGATGATACCTACACAGAAAACAAAAGGGATGCCCAAGATGGTGGGGTCCGTGGGCTACCAAGGACAGAGCTGCAGCAGACCTTCAAAGGAAAAGCAATCTTGACGGAAGATGACAAGTTTAGTAAAAAAGTAATGGAGAAGGTCTCTTTTAAAAAGCATTACATGATCCATGACCCAAGATTTCTTTACCTGAGTTACAATTACAACATTTTGCAGGAAAGCATTCATTAACGAATACTGATAAAATAGGGGCTGGGGTTGTGGCTCAGCGGAAAAGCGCTCGCCTAGCATGTGCAAGACACTGGGTTCCATCCTCAGCACCACATAAAAATAAATAAAATAAAGGTATTGTGTCCAACTACAACTAAAAAAAATTTTTTTAAATAAAAAAAAATACTGATAAAATACTTGACCACTGAAAAAAATCTGTCCCTCCCAAATAGCTCTCTCTGCTTGACAGGTACCTCCATTGCCTTCTCAGGGATTTACTTCCAGTTCTTTTCTCCTTCTCCTTTTAAGTGTTGGTAAGGAAGAAGGCTCGTTTTCTCAGAGTGCAAAGCTCTTGTACATATACACACCCTTGAAATACACAGTACAACAAAAATTGGTAGGTCAGATAATGGCATAGTGTGTGTGTGTGTGTGTGTGTGTGTTGGGGAGAGAGTGTACTTTTTGAGTTTTTTAAAAAAAATTTTTTCAACTTTAAAATTTACATTTTTAATATAAATACTCAGCTTTTATGTTTATAGATCCCACAGAAGAAAATGAAACTTCAAGATTTTAAAAATTATAAATAGCTTCCCTCTTCCTACCCAGATCTACCCACTCTGTAAGTCCACTAAAAATAAACCAATAAAGGTAAAAATGTTTATAAACTACATGAAGATTCTTGATGCTTATCACTAAATTCCTTCTTTTAAAATAGCTAACCCAACTATCGTACACTACCCAATAAGACTTCAGCAATTCAGATGAGATCAGGCGCATTCAGGGTGGTATGGCCGTAGACAGACTTCAGCAATTCCAAAAAAAAAAAAAAAAAAAAAAAAAAAATCTTTCCTAAATGGCAGACACAAGATCCCAGAGTTATATGAACTTCATACTTATGCTTGGCCTATCAACAGACTTGGGATCTCAGGTCAGGACACTTTCCTAAAACAGCCCTCTTTCTTCTATTGTTGGTTATGGGATATGCTCTAGTTTAAAATGATGCTTTAGGTGACTACAGTGAGTGCCCCTGCCCCCTCTCCCTCTACCACCAGAGGACTGCTCCTGACACCTCTCTACCACAGGATGAGTCTCTTGTCCCTTCTCTAGGCAGAACAGGGGGTTAAGCAGAGTGGTTATCTGAGATATCACTTTTAAGAAGCCGTTTTCCTCCTTTCCCCATACACAAGACATCTGCTAATTGGAAATTTCTGGAGAAAATAAAGTGTTTGGGTTATAAAATGCAAAAACTTTTGTTATCATTTGACTGCTTCTTAGAATTAAATTATTACAGCAAAAAAGGTATTTTCTTGCACATCTCTTGACTACTATCCTTTACTTGATGAGTTCCTCTCTACAAAATTTTACTTTGCTTAGCCTATTTATAGGTTCCAAGCAGTTTTACAGGTTTCAGAAGGATGCAGACTGGCCAGCCATTCAATGTCCAACTCCTGGAGAACTTCTGGTCTGACACTCTAAAGAAAAACTTCTTTAAAGATTTTGCCATGGAGAAAATTGGCAAAGTGTAAGAACAGAACAATGCAAACAATGGAACAAGTTTCATGAAACCAAATACAACCAAATTAACCCCTCATAGAACCAAAGGAACATCACCTGGAAGACAGAATCCCTAGACTCACCGGTTGTCAGTGCTGTGAGCTGGGAAGTGCGGGTAGAGGGCACAGAGGAGTGCAGCAATGGAAGAGTTTGATGTGCTCAGAGAGTACCTGCAGAGCGAATTCCATAGGGGCAGTTAATAATTTTCATGCACATATTTCAAAGGCACTGTTGAGAATGAGGAAACCAGGGTATTATGACAAAGCACACAGGTAAGGAGCCTTGATAAATATAGGTGTGTCAATGTACAAACAGCTCACTTTTCAGTCAGTCCTCAAATCATTTCAATATCATGTAGTAAGTACTTCAAGTAAAAACAACATCCCACATTTGTTCGATCCAACCTCAGAATTAATAAGCAAGGTTTTAACCTACAATAGTTTAGCAGTGAGGACCAGGAAGCAATCCTAAAGTTATAAATATTCAAAGTCATGTGTAAAGCATGCTACCTTCTTCTTCCAGTTCCTGGCTTTTTAAAATAAAGGGCTTTTTACTAGGTACTTAAACATTTTTCTTCTGTTTCTGTAAAGCATAAATATTCCTTTAGAATGATAAATGTTGTTAAAGAGTACAAGTAATCATTTGAAACCAAAGTCACTAAAAAAGCAGAAGCAGAGTGGGAAGATCTACTCAATACAGAAACTGAGCCAGCAGTCAGGTCATGTGGAACAATGACAGAAGATAGTAAGGGCATAAGATAAAGCAGAGGCTTACTTCGAAAGGAAAAAGTTTTTTTCATGAATCATGTACTGAGATGAGTTTTTATTGCAACATCTCTTTAAGTGTTCTTAATTCTAAACAGTTAAAAGAAGACAATTACATAATTTTCTGGTAATCTTTATTGTTTGTACTCCCAGAAAGGTGAGTCAATGGTGGGCTCGGTCTCTAAAGGGGAAAGCCCATGTCCTTTAGGAACTGCAGCAGCTGGCCAGTCACACGAGCTAGAGCTACCAGATGAAGGCATGCACACATTCACAGACTGGAGACTTAAGACTGGCACAGTCCAATTGCCCTAAGAGGGATGCACATGATCCGTGAATATCAATCAATATTTTGTCAGATCATCTAGACTGGAACATGACAAATTCCAACATTTATATATGAAAAAGCAAAGAGCCAAGAACAGAAAATTATACTTTTGAAAAAGAAAATTCAGGTCAGCTTTATAGACCTCACTCATGAGATCTTTTTATTGAGAAAAAAGTACATGTTCATTTACCTTCCTCCTCCCAAAAACAGAAGCCCAAGGGCCATGTGGTGGGCTAAGTGAAAGCCATAGTTCATTTCACCTCCTGTCTTCATGTGCAAGAAGCGACAAAGCTGCAGAACCTTGAGGTTCCCTGAGCCAGCCATCACCATGGAGAGGGACAGCAGCACCACACTCAGGCAGGTCTCTAGGTTGTAAGGGCCTGTCTGATGACAAGAGATGGTGACATTGCTACACCTGCATTACATTTCCTATCACCAACACTAAACACACCGTCACTGGAAGGCTATCAGTGTTTGTAACTTTAAAGAAATTTGTAAGAACAAGTATTTCCACTGATTAAGAATTTAAGTTCAATATAGAACATTCAAAAAACTGAAGTGCCAAGTAGGAAATAATAATCACTTGGAATCCCATGACCCAATTAGAATTAGCTCTGACATTTTAGATTCATTTTTTTCTATACTTTTTCCTATATGTATATATACATGTTTTTAAAAATAAGGCTTTTTTAACTAGGTACTTAAACATTTTTTGCTGTTTCTGTAAAGTATAAATATTCCTTTAAAATGATAAATTAAATGAAAAAGGCAAAAGTTAGCATCAAAAAAAAATTAATAACTGCCCTATAGAATTTGCTCTGCAGTATCTCTGAGCACATCAAACTCTTCCACTGCTGAGTTTCTCTACGCCCTTTACCCAAACTTCCCAGCTCACAGGGCTGACAACCAGTGAATTTAGCCACTGCATAGGTCTGGGTGGTATTCCCAAGAAATAAAATCTAGCAACCTTCTTGTCAGTAGAGCAGCAATTACACCAGAGCAACTGAATCTTCACCAAGTGCTGATCTTTTTAAAAAGTCATTCCCAACATTTAGTACTGAAAATGTGAGGAATGATCATCCCCAAGTGCCAGGGTCTTTCCTATCTATTCTCTCATCACAAAATCTAGATGCTGGTGCATCCTTCAAGGGTGATCATATTTTCACCTCATTAATATCCCAGAACAAAACTAAAACGATACACCACAGCCTGAAATTCCCCATTTCTAATTCAAACAGCAGAGACATTTGACAACACTTAAGTACTTGGATTATCAGTGAATTTTCTTTGAGTTTTATTTTAGTCCCAAGAAAAATCATAAAAAGACTTACTACGGAAGCATTAGGTGCAGACAAATAAGTCATAAAATCTTTTGCAAATTTATGCTGGAGAAAACAAAAGAAAAATTCAACGTTAAAAGAAGCAACTTAAGACTTTGATTTAAAAAAAAAAAAAGAGAGAGAGAGAGAAATAGAGAACAGAACAGAGGACACCAAGCTACTTCTTACCAAACAGTTAAATGCTGATAAGTTTTCTGAGCCAGCAAATCGAAAACCCAAAGACAAACAGGCTCCTGCAATTATGTAGACATGTGCCTGCCTGAAAACAATAATGAGAAATTTAACTGTCATTCTCCTTTAAAAGCATTATTACCTATTATCTTGGGATAAAAGTCACAAACATTCTGTTGTCTAACTTAGCTCACATCCTTCTGGGAATGCTCAAGTGTGCCTGAACCAGTCAGCAGGTTCTGTGCAGCTGTTCCCAGAAGCACCACATGAACCTTACTGATAAAGTGTCTCCCTCTTGTTTACTGTTTCATATGCCGCAGAAACAGAATTTTAAAGAACTGTTGCCAATTTAAATGGAAAAAATGAAAGAAGAGCAGGTACAAGTTAAATCTCCAATCTTGTTTCCTGAGGGATAGATAAGAGCTCTGCATTCAGAGTAGGACATGGTGGCACACGACTAATCCTAGCAGTCTGGGAGGCTGAGGCAGGAAGACCATGAGTTCAAAGCCAGCCTCAACAACTTAACACCCTGTCTCAAAATTTAAAAACCTAAAAAAGACTGGGGATGTAACTCAGTGGTGAAGGGTCCCTGGGCTCAACACTCGGTACCCATCCACGCACCCACCCTCCCAAAAAGAGCTTCTATATTCAGAGAGTTAAAAAAAAAAATAACTTTGTGAACATCTGATAAGCAAAAGCTCTCAGAGACAACAGTATTACTATTAGGACATTTCAGTTTATTTATTTGATAAATGCTAGGACAGTTAATTTGTATTATACATTACTTACGACAAAGTTTCCAAATTTAGATCCTCTGAACAAGGCAATTCAATTTCACTCAGAGAGATACTATTTTCTCTTATAATCTGTCAAGACAGAAAGCAAGAGTACTTGAACGGCATTGTCCTAGTTACAAATATTTAATAATTTGAAGAACACTATACTGTTCTTGGTGGCTGTATTTACATAAAACAAGCTTCACCAAACCATTGCATTCAAAGGTCCATATTTTATTCACATTAAACACAATCATATATCAAATCTAAAATGGAATAAGAATTGAATAAGACTGAACAAATATAAGCAAGAAGACTTAAGTATATTCAGAATTAATATAGTAATAACAACATTTCACACAGTCAACTAAAACACAAAGATGATGGCTATAGAACTAGAGCAGGGATGAGGGGAGATGGGGAGAAGAAAAAAGCCACTGGAGAGAAATCCAACCAGACACACTCCTTCATGGGATGCTTGTGGTACCAAGCCTACCTGCCCAGAGGGGAGGTGACTCGCTGGGCTCATTATCAGGGCTAAACCACACTGTCAACATGCTCAGGCAGACACCCCTTTCCTTTCAGTAGAGGGAGTGAATAATTTATCAATAACAGGACACAGAATATCTACCTTTAACAGCCAAGAACAGATTTCATCTTTTACTCTGAAAAAATACAAATAGAAAAGGCTACATGTTCTCTAAATGCATGAAAGTACACAGAACATAAGTGAAACTGAAGATTTATTCTTTTAATCCTGTTCTGAAGACTGTTCAGGAGAACAGCAATCAGGAATGCAATAAATATTCACAAGTCACTAACAATAGTCATCTATGGACTGAATATCATCAAAATGATAATCTGTCTTGACAGATTGTAAGAGAAAATAGTATCTCTCTGAGTGAAATCGAATTGCCTTGTTCAGAGGATCTAAATTTGGAAACTTTGTCATAAGTAATGTATAATACAAATTAACTGTCCTAGCATCTATCAAATAAATAAACTGAAAATCTGATATACCCTTTCTCCTACATAATCCCAATGAGACAAGCAATTATGTTAGCTGTATAATAAAAGCTGGTAACTTCTTGTCTCTTCCTCCTTTCCTTTATAGACTTTATTTTAAATTTTGAATGTTATTTACTCAGAAATTGAGTGACATTCTAAGGAACTACACTACTCTGAAGTGAGTTACTTGTACACACATGAATAACCTCATCTCAAGATTCATTCATACTGAAGTGTCTGCCCTCATCATCACATGGTAACAGGAAAGCTCTACTTGGACAGCAGGCACTTCTAAGCTACTCTGAGTCTTCAAAATATACTCTAAATCTTCAAACATAACATGTACTGAGGAGCTTGAAGGCCTGACTCTGAATTCCGGCAAAGGCACCTACAAGCTCTGAGGCCACAGGCAAGTTTATTCATGGCTCTGTGACTCATCTACAAATAAACATAATAGTTGGTCCCACCTTTCTATGAGAATCAGACTACTTAATCCATGGAAAGCTCTTAAAATTAACACCTGGCACATAGTAAGTCCTTTGTAAGTGTTAGCTATAATCATTACTTCTATTAATCTGTACCACCCTTGGTGACAACATCACACTTACATATCATTAAAGAACAGAGTTGGAAATAACTGGGGGGTAGGGAAGAGTCCTAAATCTGTCCTTTGTCACCATTCTATGGTTCCCTAAAGTTAAAAACCAAAAAATCATAACAGATTTGAGTGGTCACAAGGAGACGTGTGATCACTTAAGAGCTGTGGAGCTAGAGGTGCACATGAAACAAGACAAGACCACCATACTCAAGTCCTGTACAGGGTCCAGTGCAAAAATCTGAAGCTCCAGAGTCCCAACAGCCAGGCTGTAGTCTTATCCAGCCCCTCCTAGCTGGATGACTCTGGATCAGCCTGGGCTTCCCAGCAACAGTGATATACTGAGCTCTGGGGGCTGGGTCCTAATTGTCATGAATGTTCATGAAAGCCTGAGGCACGAGAGCCAAAACCTGGAACCTGTCCAAGTGTCCCACAAAAGAAAATGGAGAAAGAAATGGATAGAGGCATCCATGGATCGCAGCTTAATAAAAAAAGAAGCACTATTAACATACTCAACAGTGTCTCAAAAACATGCTGAGTGAAGCAAGTCTTTAGACAAAAAGGATGTACACTATACTTCACTAATGTAAACTTCTACATCAGTAAAAATAATATATTTTAGAGAAAAAAGCAGAATGCTGGTTGAGAATGGGGCTATGTGACAGGCTCAGGGAAGGGGAACAAGGGACACAGGCTTGCGTCCTCAGGCATATGCATTTGTCAAATCTTACCAGGGAGCACACTAAGATTTGTGCTCTGTAGGGTATATAAACTGTGTCTTGTAAGAAACAAAAATACTGACTCCTTTAACTAACGAGAGAGAG